ACTGTCTCATTTTTGTGTGCACACCAAAATGCATATAAATCCGTGAACTTGGGCTTCTCCATGGCATCCTTCCTTGGAGCCCTTCTTGGTTAGCGAGAGCTTTTCTTTATTATAGTGAGAGCTTTTCTTTGTTATTTCTAATAAACTATACAGTAATACCTTGGCTCACAAATGCCTCTGTTTGCAAACAATTTACTTTGTAAACAAAAGTGTTCAGTAAAGTTTTGCTTCTGTTTGTAAACTCTGCATTAGGTGACAAACACAACCATAGCCATCTTCCCCCAGTGGTAAAACACATGAAGTTCACAAGCTGAGGTACCACTGTACTTGGTTTGTTCCCCACTGCTGTGCCCATGGAATTCATGCTTTGGCATCTTCAGGACAAGAGCCCACAGAGAGGACAGAATTGGTTACAAGTCTCTATGCAAGCTGAGGCAGAAACAAAGGCACTAGGAGGAGGTTGTTTTGTTAAAGGAGAGACTGTGCTCATCTCCACAGATTTAATTCTGCTCCTTTTCAGAACTTGAAATTCCTTCCTCCCTCTTCTCTACATGGAGAGCTTGCACGCACTCTTGAGCTTTGGGTTAACTATTGCCCTTTCTGTGAAAGTGTTCCTGAAACCCGTAGGTGGAATGAAGTGCTCCCTCTTACATGTTCCCATCATTCTTTGCTCTATTATCACTCATCACCCTGGATTCAGTGACCTTTTACCTCTCTGCCTCCCTCTACAACTCTGAGTATCTCAAGACTACTGTATTTTTGTGTTCCCAGCACTTAGCCTAGTCCATAGCATACTGCATCACTTCAAAATGTGTGCAATGAATTAATATGAGACGATCAAGCAAATGAAGGTTAATATGGAGGTATTCCTGGCTCTAGGGGCATAGAGGAAGGAACGCTCCTTACAGGGAGGTCTGCAGAAGGGCTACAGAGGGCTTTGGAGCAGTCTCGGGGGAAAAGTACGTGTAATGTATGGGTTATGCACAGAGTGAGTGCGTTTAGGAAATTATAATTGGGACTAAAATGTGGAGTCAAAGATGGGGAGCAATAAGGGATGAAGGTGAGATGGGGGGTGTCTCACATGATAGGGGCCCCTGTGTGACAAACTAGAGAGGCAATAGGGAGCCGCTGAAGGGCTTTATGAAGAGACTCACTGAAGAGGGTAGATACAGGCTTCAGAAAGAGCACTCCGTTTAATAAAGACTTCACTACATTTCAGACAGAGTTCCAAGCGCTTTACAAGGCTTGGGTCTGAACTAGGACAGATGCTCCTAACCACCAGGCTGGGGTGAGTGGACTGGCGACAGAGCTGTTGAGGGACTGCTGAAGGAATTCAGAAGAACAAGGCTGTGGTACTAGGCAGTGAGGCTTAAGAGGTGAACAGGGGTGCCTCAGGCTCGGAGGCCACAGGATTTGGGCAAGGAAAGAGGGGGAGGAGTGGTGATACCGCCCAAGCCGGTGTGAACAGGGGCGCCACTCACTGAGAAGAAAGGTAGGCTATCACTCTGATAAATAAAGTTGTGAGCTCTTTTATTTCTTCTTTTTCACCGTCCCTACGCAATTTTTACAGAGAAAGCCTGAGCTCTCAGACAATAAAGCATCTTGCAAATTGCTCTATTTAAACTCTATATAGGCGACAGGATGCAGACTTCATTAGGGAATGCAATTTCTCATTTGTTGATAGATTCAGTATTGGAATAGGCTGAGTTTGATGTAAAAATAAACATATCTTATGCATAGCAGAGGTAGGGTTTTCAGTATTTTCTCTGTCTAAAAGAGAGACTGTTTTCAAATGGAGGGGTTATTAAGTTCATTACTAATGGTGTTATTTTTGGCTGCATACGTTTAGAGCAAAGTAGTTGTCATGCAGGAGACTCCTGTCCTTGCCAGAACAGGACAGTGAGGAGAGCATGGTATCCAGGGCAACCAAGAATTCAGACTTCTCGGTCCATAAATAATCATTCCTCAGCCTGCCCTTTGTAATGTTGGTCTCTGAGCTGCTTCGTGACATAATAAGCTCCATCGGGGGGCTACTGTTCTCTTCCTTGTGGTTTAAATGACTGCTGGGGAATATTTTATAAGAAAGGCAGTGTTTCAGCTCCATGACAAACTGCAGTAACAAAAACCTGCAACTGGCTCTTGTGATCTTGGCTCTGGCTACAAGGAAACTCTGAAGCCATAGTGAGGGGAACAGTTACCTGCTCAGGTGGCCTGTGTGCCCGACAGCTGTGTTTAGGGAAAGCACAGCTGAGGTGTACGACTCTTGGAGGGTGGACAAGGTGAGCTAACAAGCACTAATTAAAGATGGTTATTTCTTTCCTTTCACATCTCCTTAAAACCAACTGGAATTCCTTTTCCATTAAAGTCCTGCAAGTTCTTTCTTGAGCACAGAAATCTCGCCTTGCATAGCATATCTTTCACACCCATTTGACACCTGTGTTATATATAATATCAAGAAGTTGTCACATCACAGTGGTTAGGAGCTCGGGGTAGGAGTCGGGCCAAGCCAGGAGTGACTCACTTCTGCAGAGCCTCAGCATCCCCCACGGAACGGCAACCCTAACTGTGCTTATTGCCCAGGGCAGTCATAAGGCGTACCTAAGGAACACATATCAGCAACAGTGCCAGGGCCTCTGAGACTTCCAAGAGCCACAAAGAGGTTAGAGACCTGAAAAAAACTGGCTTACAGATACAAAAGGTAAACTGCAAAATTAATAATTACTTATTAAAGGTAAACTGCAAAATTAATAATTACTTATTAAACACTTAAATAACATCCACTGTCAACTATACTTCAACTCCGTCTTTATATAGTTCTATATAAATGTGAATCCAAGTCATATGATTTCATATTTTCCTTCAAAAGTTATATAGCAAAAAGCTGCATTTACTGTTGGATGAAAGTATATTTTAATGTTTGATATGATATCGAATGTAGCTTTATATGTAAGTGTTCTCTGGCTTGTGAAGAGTTTGAAATGGCTCTAGATGCTTAAGAAAATGGTAGGTCTTGAGATTCCATCTCACTGCAGAAAGAATGGCTGTTTTCAAGAAATCGACCAATAACAAATGCTGGTGCAGATGTGGGAAAAAAGAACCCTCCTCCACTGTTGGTGGGAGTGTAGACTGGTGCAACCACTGTGGAAATCAGTGTGGAGATTCCTCAAAAAACTAGGACTACAGGTCTCATTTGACCCAGCTATTCCTCAGCTTGGAACCTTCCCAAAAGAATTAGAAGCATCATATCCCAGCAATATATGTGCACCCATGTTTACAGTGGCAGAGTCTGTAATAGCTACATTTTGGAAACAACCCAAATGTCCATCAACTGATGAATGGATAAAAAGATGTGTTTTTAAAAATAAAATAGAGTACTACTCAGTCATAAAGAAGGATAAACTTGAGACATTCATAGCTACATGAATGGACCTTGAGACTATACTCTAAAGTGAAATAAATTGGACAAATGTGTAAATATTGCATTGTCTCTCTGGTGTGAGAAACTGCAAGTGTAAATAAGAAGCAAAATCTATAACAGATATTGTGAAATAGGAAGACAAAAGGAAAGGGGAACTAGGGAGGGAGGACGGGGAAAGGAAGGAAGGGAAAAGAAAAAATGAGAAAAGAAGGATGAAGCAGAAACGAAACTTTGTAAATAAGGAGGGGAAGAGGGGTTGAAGGGAGGGGAGGGAAATGGAAAAGAAGAGGAATCACGATATGTCAAGTGCAGGTACAAATTCCTTTGATGCATGCTATCATTATGTATATCTAAGTGGTACCAATAAACTTAACAATAATAAAAAAGAAAATAGTAGCTCTCATTACTACTATTATAGCAATAATGATTTCATTATTCTGCCCTAAGAGGTTTCTTGTGCTGTACTGGAGGGTCCTATTGATATTTAGGCTTTGTTTTCTTTATGTAAGCTGTGTTGAGATCCTTGAGGTCAATAGTGTAGAGGACAGACTGAGCTGAAACACGGCGTTCTGCTCTGGGACCATCACCGGAAAAGCGGAAAGACGAAGACCTGCTCCCACTAGTCTGCTGGGCCTCCGCGATGGGACGGCCACAGCCACAACGGAAGTGCTTCCCCGTGTCAACACGCAGGGACGTAAGCCGTACGACATCCCCAGAGCCCAGGACCTCTAACTCACAAGGCAGAGTCAGCAGCTACCTAGGAGCATCTACAAAAGGCTCTTTTCTGCTCTCTATCTGAGCAATACTTAGCAGGTCTACAGACTTTTCCTTTTTGAGCTTTCATGTAATAAATATGTATTTCACAGACAGGGAGGCTCTTTTGTGAGGACTTCGAGCTTGGAGCAGGCACAGAATGGAGGACTCAGTTTTCAGTAAAATTATTCTTTTTTCTCTGAAGAGTGCTTTCCATCATTGCCATCCCTCTTCCCTGAGGTCCCTGCGTGACACACTTAACTGGCCAAGCAACAGGCTGAGAAATGGGGTCTTCAGGAGGTATTACATCACAAGGGTTTGGCCTTCCTCACAGGGTTAAGCCCGTTTCCGTGGAAGCGGATCAGGCAGCGTGGGATGGGGTACTTTATACAAGGATTAATTCAGCCTCCTCCACAGTTCTTTCTGTCTCTCTCTCACTCTCTTGGCCTCCGTGTTCTGTCACAGGATGAGGCAGAAAGGAGGGCCTTGCAAGATGCAGGCTTCTTGACCTTGGTCTTTCCGGCCTCTAGAACTGTAAGAAACAAATCCCTGTCCTTTATGTTGTTTACAAATCACCTAGTCTCCTGTATTCTGTTATAGCAGCATAAAATGGACCGAGATAATAGCTTATCATATACACACATCTTCCAAGAGTAAATAAGACACCTTGAGAAGAGACAGTGGCACCTCCTAATTTCCAACCTGAAAACACTGCTTCAGAATAAGCTGTGACCATCTCTTGAGGCAGTGTTCGCATTCTGACTCTAGCTTTCCCAAGGTGCCCCTCAGATGTGAAGGGGGTGAGATGAACGCAAAGTGCAGAACTCACGGGCGGTAGGCAGGAGTTCCAGGTGGTTGTGTCGTCGCTGCTGCTGCTTATGCTGACGTTGCAGTTGTCAACCTGGGATGCGCTCAGGCCGTGGGGAGCCCCAGGGTCCTCCAGCTCCTCGTGCTGTTGCCGCCGAAGGCTTGCTAACATCTGCAACTCAGACTCACTCATTGCGCTGGGCTGATAGTTTCTCCAGTTGTACTCCTGACCGAGAGAGCAGAAAATAACAGGACAAAAGGTCACTTCATCTTAACTTTATGGGCTACCAACAAATGCTACTCCACAGCCTTAACCCCTGCGCTGGCTTCCTGCTGGCAGAGGCCTGAATCTTTCCTACACCTTGGGAGATGCCTACTCCACCTGCACAATCTTGTCTTTCTGCCCGACGGGTCAGTTACACGGCCTTTGCTGAGGTCCTCAGAAGCACCAAGCTCATGCCTGTGTACACGCTAGTTCCCTCTGCTTTCTGTCTGGCTAGCTGGTAGGTACCATATGTTGTGTCTCTTCCTCAAGGAAGCTGTCTCTGACAGCTACAGATTGGGTCAGCTCCTCTATCATATGCTCTCATACAACTCAAAAAGTTTCACTTCTAACATTCATCACAATGTAAGAAAAGTTTTGCAGTTATGCAACTGTTTATAGACTTCACAGCAGACCATGAACTTGTATAGGTCAGCACCATGACTGCCTTAATTCCACCGGTGACTAGTAGGTGCTCAACTAGTATTTGTTGAATAAATAAATAAAAATTTATTTATTAATTAAAATAGTATTTATTGAATAAATAAAAGTTGGAAGCAGTTTTTAATGGAGGGAGTGTAACTGGGGATCAAACCCAAGGCCTTTGTAACATCTCCAGCCCTTTTAAAATTGTTTATTTGAGGCAGGGTCTTGTTAAATTGCTCAAGCTGGGCTTGAACTTGCCTTCTGCCTGCCTCTGCCTCCTACAGTACTGTAATTATCAATCAGTATTATCAGTGTTGAAAACAATTTTTTAAAAATAAAACCAACTTACCATAAAGAAGTCAGGCTTATAATAGAATCAATGAATTTTAGCATTGTTGAACACTACCATCAAATATATTCAAATCACAGTAAGACTGGAAATGACGACTACTGTTAAAAGCCATCAAACACAATTTAAATGCAAGCTGGGAACAGCTAAGGTGTTATGGCTTATATCCAGATGCCCCCCAAAGTCTCACGCGCTCAAAGCCAAGGCTTGGGGAGGTGATTGGATCACGAGGGTCTGACTCTTATGGTGGATGAGTTCTCTGGTTGAGTTCATAGCTCGGTGTGGCTTGGGAGGTGAAGCCTGATTGGAGGAGGTGGGTCACTGGGGGCGGGGCCTGGGAGATCTCCCTCCCTCCCTCCTCCTTTGGTCTCCCTCTGCTCCCTGCCCGCCTGCCATGCTGTCTTGAAGTCCCTACTGCCCTCTCTTCCTCTTATTAATTTTTTTGCCTTCCAGTGATATAAAAAGTTAAGAAAATATAATTTTGAAAACAGCTTTTAATCCTTCTGACATTTAATGCTCTTTAAACAAAGCATCACCATCCTCACAATTTGCGGCTTTAAAAGCTTATTATCTAATAATGTGATGTGGAGATTTTTGGGGCAGTTGCCAGTGGAAATTCAGTTACATTCTCATGTTCACGGCAGACTGGCACCAGGAGACGCTGGCAATCTTGCGGAGGATTTATGAGTATTTAATATGCTTGGAGAGGGTTGCTGGGGAAAAATGAACATCGCAAGAAGAACAAAATTTATATTCTACATAAAGGAATAAAAAGGGAAAGATATTCAATTCAAAAGCAGTTGAGGGGACAATAAAAACATGGAAAGATGCTCAAAGTCTTTGTTATTAGAGAAACAGCTCAGAAGTATGAGAGAAACTTCCCTTGCACCAGGCCGATCACAGTAGAAACAGACCATAACAGGCGCTGGGAGCGCGGAGACACTGGGACCCTCACACCTCGCTGGGCTGGAAGTGGAGTGGGGCCCCTGCTCCGCAAAACAGTTTGGTAGTTCCTCAGACTGCTAAACATGGAGTTAGCACAGAACTCAGCAACGCACTCTAGTCACACATCCAGAGAACTGGAAGTGTGTGTGCACACGAAAACATGTACATGAAGCCGAGTGTGGTGGCGCACGCCTGTAATCTTAGCATGCCGGAAGCCGAGGTAGGAGGATTGCTGTGAGTTCCAGGCCAGCCTGAGCTAGATAGCAAAATAAAACAAAATAAAACAAAACAACACATGTACATGAATCTTCAGAGCTGCCTTGTTTTAATACTTGAAAAGTGAATACAATCAAAAGTGTATCAGTTGAGTAGGTTTTCATTTATTCATATTACAGTATATAATTCAATGATGAAGAATAATAAAGACTAATATATGCTTCTTTTTTTTTTTTTTTGGAGACAGGGTCTCGCTATGCAGTTCAGGCTGGCCTTGAGCTCACTTTGTAGCCCAGGCTGGCCTCGAACTCGCAGCGACCCTCCTGCCTCAGCCTCCTGAGTGCTGGGATTATAGGTGTGCACCACCACGCCTGGCTAAAACTAATATATGCTACAGTGTGGATGAACCTTGGAAATATAAACTAAATGAAAGAAGCCAGGCACAAAAGCCACATGTTCCGCAAGCCCATTTACATGAAAAGGCCAGGACAGGAAATACACAGAAGCAGAAAGCAGACTAGTCAAGCCAGGACCTGGAGAGACGAGTGGAAGTGTTGCTGCTAAGGAACGCATGGCTTCTTTTGGGGTAATGAAAACAATCTGGGGTTAGGTATGATGGTGGTTATAGAACACATTAAAAATTCCTGAACTGCCTATTTAAAAAGGGCAAATGTTTATGGTCTAGGAATTATGCCTCAATAAAAAATACAGTTTGGTGAGCAGACATGACAATGAGAAACCGACCACTGGACTGGGTGTAACAGTGACAAGTGACTTGCTGGCCTTTGCTTCAGTTTTTTTTTTTTTTTTGTTAAGAAATGAAACTGAACATTCTAATGTCACAGAGGTATGTTATTTAGCTTGGCATTCCCAAGGCATGCTTTAGAAATGAAAAATGACATTTTAAAGCTCACAGTTTTTCTTAAGAGTTCTTTAATATATATTTAGCATGCTTAATTCATCCATTCGATTTGTTTATGTCATCTGCAAGCCTTACTGCATTTGAGCCAATTCTGGAGACTAAGACAGAAAAATAAGACAGACTACGCCAGAATCGACAGATCTATGCCTGGGGTCTCACGCTTCCATTTCCCAGTTGCACATGATTAGGAAAATTTCCTAAGTTCTCTAGGCCTGAGTTTCTTCTTCTGTACAATGGAGATCACAGCGGTGGGCTACATCAAATCGTACAGTATATATCAGATGTTTAGCAGAGGGTATGAAAAACAGCTATATTAACGGTATCCAAACTTTTGAGCTGAACTTTATCAGAAAATGCTGAACTGTAGTTTGGACTTTAAGAGTCTCCCAAAGGCTCATGCTTTAAAGGCATGGTCCCCAGCCTAGGGCATTACTGGAGGTGGTGGAACCTTTCAGAGGTGGGGCCTAGCAGGTCTTAGGTCACAGGGGGCGTGCCCTTCAGGAAGGCTGTGGGACTTCATCGCTGCCTGTTCCTCTCTCTTGCATCCTGGTCCCAAGGTGAACTGTTTTGTCACGTGTTGGTCCATATGTGTCGCCTCGCTGCAGGCCCAAAAGTAACGGGACCAAACAATCATGGATGGACAGCTAAAAAACTCTAAGTCAAAATAACCCTTTTCTTTTTATAAACTGCTTATCTCAGGTATTTGTTACAGTAATAGAAAGCTGAATAATACAAGCTATGTCTAATTACATATGTTTATAAATTAAACTTATATATAACTATATTAAAATAATATGTAGAGTATAAAACATACATAAAAATAAAAATGATTGATTAAAATAATGAAGATAGTTTTAAAATTTTCTTCCTGAATCTGAATGAGTTGTCACTGGTACACACATTCTGGGGCGAAAACCTCCCATTTAGGGGGCCGCTGATTAGGCAATCAGTGCCTACATTCCCTGTTGCTGTTATTCTTTTCTCTCTGTCTCTACCCCCTTCCTTCTGGTCGTTCATTCTTCTGGTACTGTGCACGAGCTGGGACACAAAGAACAAAGCACACCTCTGTCCTCACGGAGCTCCCGGTCTGGACGGGTAGGCATGCCAGGAATAACAGACTGCGGCTAGCACCGGGGCACAGCGAGGACTCTGACGCTGGAGAAATGCACCGCAGAAGTGACTGCTATAGTGGTTCTCACAGAAGTCTAAGCTGGCATTCCATAGTACCTAAGTTTGCTGAAATGGAATAGAAGGACTCTTTCCGCCACTAGCAGGACGGAAACACAAGCAGGGGAGGGCAGGGCAGCTGGTTGGGCTACTGCAGTAATCCACAGTGGTGGAAATAAGATAGATTGAGTCATTAATTTATTCCACAAATACTTACTGAGACCCTAGTCCATGCCAGGAACTGTGGAGGTTCTTTGCCGAGAACCCTGCATTTTCATGATTTTATTTCATACAGCAGCGCAGTGTATTCTGACAACACCCTGGAGGGGGCAGCCAAAAGTGAACAGAGAAAAGAAAGCGCCTTCCTTCAGGGTCGTGAACAGAGCAAGTGGTGGCAGAGACAGGTAATTAACTTAGTTCTCCGAGACAGTTCTGATTTGCAATCTCTTAAGCCATTTCAAAATCACCAGAAAGGCTAACTCATTTATTATTATTATTTTTTTAAAGGAGGCTTGCAATAAAGTCTTCATGTTAAAGTGGACACCAGCAAAAAGTATCTAACTAAATTATGCAACTGCTGAGAGGCAAAGTGCCTTCTGTAATTCTAACTCTGAAAGGCTCAGAATGTTATGCATAACTCAATTTTGTTTCAAAATATCCTTGTAGGAAAGAAGGCATTATCCACCAGATTTGTTTAGGAATGAGGCAATGGGCTGAAGTCTATACTATTCAGCTGTGTCCAGATTTCTAGGCAAGTCCTTCGCTCACTAAGTCAGTCATTCGTTTATCATTTTTCAGATATTGGGAGCCTAAGCCAGTGAAATCACAAAGATAATGAATATGTGGCTCTTGCTTTTACAGGTCTTACAACCAGCAGGATAAATCAGAATTCCGGGGAAAGGAGTAGAGACAAGGTAGTGTGTGCTGAAGTATAGCAGT